CCCCGGGCAGGGCTCCGCATCCTAGAGGCATTACAATAAAATTTACGGCCCCCTTAACAACTCCCTAGTAAAAGCATTAAAATTCCCTTTAATTGCGAAAATATTGATTTTTAACTCTAGAAAGAGCGAAATCGTAATTTAGCTGCAAACTTCCACCGATATAACGGCAGCTCGGAGAGATGGCTTCCCATCTTTAATAGCGATCACTTATGAAGTGATAAAAACAAAGAAAACTTGACAAATAGAGAGACAACTGCACTCAGGAACGACGGTATTTACATTCCCTTTCCCCTTCGTAGCTCTAGACAGTGGCGCTCATTTTCTTGCTTTCAGATTTCCAAACACGAGGGCAAAGGAAAGGATTTGGGATGTGGGAGAAAAGCATCAGTGCACATTAAAAGTAATGATTTGCCTTTACCGGGCAAGGGACGGCGACAACAGACTTAAGGAAACATTTTCACAAAACGTTAACCTCTTCTTAGAAGGCGGCTAATCTGATGAAATTTCCTTACTTTTCCTTGTTCGTTTAAAAAGAAGAAGAAGAAAAAAAAATCATTGCTGAAAGGAAAGGGAAATCCCACCCTTGCTCTCTATCTTATTTCTGTATCGGTTTTTGGTATTATAGGAGAGCAAAGAAGTTTTTGTTTGGTGGTTTTTCATTGATCAGTCACTCTGAGCTAATGTAATTATCCTCATCAATAGAAGGCTGCAGAGAGAATCATTATGTGGGTGACATTGATAAATGATCACCCAAGAGCTGCCTTTTCTCTGGGGCACCCCCACATATGACCCTCCCACATACACAAGGTAGCCATAGAAACACCTTGAGCTCCTCAAACACGGCTGCGAAAGGGGGGGTGCGGAGAAAGGCACAGAAATCCCAACTTTCTGCCCCTGCCGGCGCCGCCTTCCCACCGCGCAGCGCTCCGCGGGCGCGCAGCCTCGCTGCCTGACCGGCGGGCTACGGCCTTCGCTGCTTCTTTTTATTATTTTCTTTTAGGGAGAGGGAATATTTAAACAATGCGGCCACATGCCCCGTAGGGGCGCGTTGCTCTTTAGGTGCAAAGCGGAGCCCTTTAGTTTGAAAGTCGCTCYCTAAGATGCGCGGTTCCAGTTTCCATCATCAGCCCAACAACTCCGCGGGCTGCCACTCTTGGAAAGTGGCTGAACTCGAATTACTAGTGTGCTTTATTCCTCGCAGGGCTAGATAGGAAGACCCTGCATTTCTTCATAAAGGCTTTTTTATCTTTTATCTCTTCCCCTTTTGCAGCAGCAGAGCCCTTTCTTCTACAAGCAAACACCAAATTATCGAGGGCAGTAATTGATTCATAATGATCCATAAGTCGATGCGAGGAAGGGGCCGAGGGTGTTTGTTTGTTTTGTTCCCAGAGCGGCGGGTGCAGCAGCTCCGGGGCGGCGGGGCCGGCGGGGAGGAGCAGCTCAGCCGCCTCATCCATCATCGGTGTCGCACGGGCGCTGCCCGGAGCGGCAGCCTCCCTTCTGGCTGCCTCTTTCTCGCCACCAAAACTATTAATATTAAAAGCCGCCTCCAAACCAACCTCCCGGCCGCCTCCAACCTCGGCTCCAGGGTGCTGGGCTTTTCGTTCAAAAATAAATAAATAAAAATAAGGAAGGGGAGAAATTAGCGCGTTTTCCTTGATTTCAGTCTCACGGGACGGAGATGCCCCCCGGGACCGAGAGGCTCTTCCCACCCCGTGGAGAAGCCGCGGGGGCGGCAGGGCAATTTCGGGGCATTTTTTATTTGTGTTTTTCCTCGAACCACCGGCTTTTCCCCCAGGAAAGTGCCCGCAAGGTGTCATTAAGCGCAGGCCCCTCGGGAAAGGACGGGGCTGCTGCGGGGGAGCGGCTGCCTTGCGCTGCGCGGGAAGCGGGGCCCGTCCCGTGCCAGCTGCTCCCTGGATTCTCCACATGCTCCCGCGCCCCCGCGGCGCCCCCCGCGCCTCCCAAACCTGCGCTGCGCTGCGGGGGCTGCTCCGCCTCGCTCGCGGCTCCGGGGCGCGCGGGGCAGCGCGGCGCCCGCGGCGCCTCCTCCTCCTCCTCCTCCTCCTCCTCCTCGGGCCGGGCCGGGCCGCTCGCTCCTCGCCTCGGCCGCCGCCAAACCTGGAAGAAAAATCCCTCGGTCGCGGGGGCTGCCGCCGCGGAGCCGCTCGCAGGGATGGAAATCTGGGATTATAAACATGTGTGTGTGTAAACAAAAGGTGTTTTCCCGCTACCCGTCGCTTCCCAGAGCATAAGCATTTTTTTTTTTTTTTTTTTATTCAGACTACAGTATTTCCTTTCACACCATACCGCTGTCAAAACATTATTCCCGTTTTTGGTTGCTTTTGACAGCTGAGCGGCTCTTAAAAATACCAAAATCGGAACCTTCCATGCTAAACAGTAAATCTCAGATGGAGAAATCTGTGCGCGCGATTGTACCTTGGATTCCAGCTAAGCATCTCGCAACCCGAAAGGAAATGAATAAAGGGAAAGAAAAATAATAATAGTCAAAAAGAAATAGCAGACAACACAGCAATAGAGATACTTAGTTCCTTATAAAAACAACGTTAGCGGGAAAAAATAATTACTCGCTTTCCTTCTAACATTGCAAGGACATTTTTTGATATTTCTCCTGAAAAACGTAAAGAAGAAAAGATATGCAAGCAAATAGAGTACTTATTTAAAATATATATGTAAACCTTTGCCTTTAAAATGCAAGCACGGCCAAACTTTCCTCCTGGTTTCCCGCATTCTGGACGTCCGCGGCGCTGGGGGTGCGGGCTGTGCCCTCCTCACGGCGCTTGCGGGGCGCAGCGATTGCAGCCGGGACAGAAAGCGGGAGAGCCCGGTGCGGAATTTCTCATCCTTCCCATTTTATAGGAATAGCGTCAAGAAGACGCTGCAGCGCGGGCCCCGGTTGCTGAATAAACCCTCGCAGCCCCTCGTGCTGCTGCGGGGCCCTTTCCTCGGCTTCCTCGGGAATTAAACATTAACCAGGGGCCGAGGCGCTTTGCACATTCCGAAGGCAGAAGTTGTCCCTCGGAGTTTTTAATAACACACCCGCCATGCGGAATGAGGAGGAGGAAGGAAGGCAGAGCTCTCCAGTTTACAAACGGTTGCACCGGGAACATTTGTTTCCTAGAAAGTCAAGATAAATTCGGTCCCGCTGCCGCTTCTCTTCCCCTCCGCCCCCCCGAAAGAAGCCCAGGACTTTCCTCCCCTCTCCGGGCCCATCCTGTTCCCGGCGCCAGGCGGTGCCGCCGAGCGGGGCCCGCTCCCCAGCGCGCCCCGCGGAATCGCCCCCTCCTCCGAACTCGCCTTTAATTGCTTCAAAATGCTGCGCGCTTTTGTTCCAGCAAAACCAACCCTCACCCGTGGCTCCTCACTAGCTGTTTGTATTTAAAATGTCAAATTAACATTTTTCCTCATTAGTTGATTTTTTTTTTTAAAACTTCTGAAAACAAAAGGAGAGAGCAAAGCAATAAAACCATCTATCTCAGCAGCCGGGTTACACAATCCTCACACAGGTACAACTCCCATTAGACTCCAAGCTGCTTTTCCCTTCCAAAACCTGCCGAACCCCGTCCTGCGTTAGAGCCTTCACCTGTGCCAGAGTACCAGTCTGCACACACACCCACGTACACCCATACGTACACCCTCACATACACCTGCACATACACCCACGCAAACACCCACGCAAACACCCACCCATACATCCGCACATACATCCACCCGCACATCCACCCGCACACACACGGCACATACACCCACACATGCACAGGTACCTTCACCCCGGGCCCGCCAGCCTGCGCAGGTCGCGGCCACGCACCCCTCTAGCTGCTGATCCGTGTTACTAACAGGCTGATAACACAGATAGGAAATACAGCTCTACGAAACACAATCTGGTGAGAGAATATTTGGAGTTCTGTTTAATCTCGTACGATATAGACATAATATTTATAATCAGCAGAAATATAAAACCTTAGTCGTTACTTAATCCAATTACTCTATTAATCTGGCGACAGACTTGTTTCTGCTACTTCCAATCTCTCTGTTCAATGCCAATATGAAATACTTTTAAGACCTCTTTCCCAGTAACGTCAGTCTCTCCTAGGCATGATTAAAAACACAAAAGCCTAACAAAAAATCAAAAATGAAATATTTATTACCGCATTTTGTGACTTAACACTTTTTTTTTTTTTTTTTTAAACATAACGTCACAGTCCTCATACAAGTATTTTAATGTAAATTTTGACAAAGCTTAAAGGTAACAGCATTTTCTTCTAGTGAGGAACACGTGCTGAGAAAGGAAGAATTCATGGACATACAATACCAATTCCACAGCAGATCTGATACTAGCAAAAACATTCTTTTTTTTTTTCAATTGAGGTAAACACATAGAATATCTAACATGAAACAATTAATAGACCGAACTCTGTACGAAGTTTGTTACAGTATTCTCTTGCTTTTTTTTCCCAAGCTTTGAGTTCATGATAAAGTTCTAGGTTTGGTGCAAAGACCGTTAATAACTTCTTTCATTGAGGAAAGCTGCCCAACTTTTAGTTTTGTTTTGTCCAAAGCCAAGGCTCAGAACTACTGGAAGAAGCTCCTGCTCTCTCTGTTCTGTCTTTTGAATCTTCACCTGCAAGCTCTTTGAAGAAGAGTCCAAAAAAAAAAAAAAAATAGATGGGGGAGGAATGGGGAGAGACTTAATGAAGCACAAACTATAAAGATCTGGTTGAAACTAAAGGACACATTTTATGAAGGAACAAAACGAGGGGATGGCAAGGCCTTCTCGGAACAGTCTTCTGAGTGGTGAGAGACCCAGCAAGACTTTTCGTCTTCATCTCCAGGGTAGTTCTTTTCTCACTGGCCAAAACAGGTCTTTCATGGATAGTGACTTCACTGCTGAACCAAAACAGTCATTCTTTTGGGAACAACACACATAGTGTGGAAAACAAGGATTTTTTTTTTCTTCTAAAACTATTTGAGGCAACGTAACGGAGTGATCAACAGAAATGTACAAGTTAACTTAGTTCCTATGTTTATACTACAGTAGTTATAACTCTTGGAGTCTTTTTTTTTTCCAGAGGATCTGTACATGGACATAATCGTTTCAGTGAGCCCATGATTTCACATTTGTGTTCTTGGTTCCTTGGTCCTCTGTTGTTGATGAAAAATGACAAAAAGTAAAAAATAATCACAGCTGTCTGGAATTTCGTATTAAGTGTCAACATCTGGTCAAAGTTCAAAAGTCTTAAAATAGTTTTTGTTTTTGTTTTGTTTCTGTTTTTTCCCTTGAGTTCCCTTATACTATTGGGCATGAATGTCCATAACCTGTCCACCAACACTGGGGTCTACGGAATTTAACATTGTGGGGCTCTGTGCTGACATGGTCATTCCAGGGTGGGTAGGGGGTCCTCCGTGCATCATCATGGCTGGGTGATGGGGGTGACTTGGCAAATATGAATGGATTGGGGGTCCATGTCTTAATTGAGAAGGGTGTGGGGTCATCTGGGGAGGAGTGTAACTTGGCTGTGCCATACTCATACCCATAGGACCACCCTGAGATACGTAGTCCCCTGGCATGCCTTGCAAACCTAGACAAAAAAGAGGGGGAAAAAAAAAAGCAGGTCAGATTCCTCAACATTTTCACAATTTACCCATCTAAAAAGAACAGGAAAAACAACAGACACTGCAAATCTTCCCTCTAAAATTAGCTGCAGATTCTTGCCAATGTTTGCAGACATTCAAATTCTAGTTTGCATTTAATTTGATCATTCAGCAGGATAATGCACATAACAGAACTAAATATTGAGCACGACTGAGTATCAC